CTCACAGACAAGGAGAGAAAGAAAATGAGAAAGCACCCAACACAGGGTGGGGTGGGTGGGTGGTGGCAGTGTGATGAACACAGGCAGTCCCTTCTCTTCTGTTCTCCCCTGGGAATTTTGGGAACTCATATACCTGTGCCCATATTGTTTTTAGACGTTCTGCAACTAATAATTGGTGTCTCTCCCTCCCTGCCTACACACACCTTTTACCTAAAACTTTCTGCTAGCACACAACTATTTTCTCCGAGGGAACTGGAAGAAGACTTTATACTAGCCATCTGCTGCTTGGTGAAAATGAATTTAAGAGTAAAGTTTTATGAGTGAAAACAGGAACAAGAATATGAAGGCAGAAGAGAGGGAATTTAACGAAGTAAAAGAAACCGCATTTCAGGAATTCTGGCCCATACGTGTCCGGTTCTCGCGCTGTGTCAAACCCTGCGCAGACACCAGGTGGCGCCCTCACTCCGGCCGCGCGGCGTCCGGACTCCTCGGACTTCGGGCGGGTCTTCCAACAGGCTGCGCGGTCTCCTGACCCCTGAGAACCGTTGGGTGAGGCCTGGAAGCAAGGAGAGGGTGAGGGAGAGAGAGGAGAGAAAGAGAAGGGGCAGAGGGAGACGGAGGAGACGCGGGCCCGCGCCCTGTGGCTGAGCTGCCGCCAGTTCCAGCCCAGACCAAGGGACCCAGGGCGGCGGTAGGGGCTGGCGCGGGCCTTTCCCACTCCCACTGCCCGACGTGAGGGGCAGGCCACCTCCTCGCGCAGGGACGCGAACGCCACGCGCATTCGAGGAAGGCAGAGGAGGTGGCCGACCGCACTTGGTTGGTTGGAGTGTTGGAAGGAGCACCCTGGAAGGTTTCCTGAGTCATAGTCCTTTCTGGGTTCTCCGCGGGGCCGGCTGGGGGCAGGTTCGGGGACCTTCTGAGAATACCAGGCGCCCTCTCCTCTCCATCCTTTCACCCTACTCTCTTTTCTGTTTCCCAAGGAGGGAAAGTGTTTCCTCACAGAGACAGGGTCTTGCTAATTCTGTGTCTCGCACTCTCTGCCCTAACATTGGTGAGCACCTAAGCGAGACTGGAAAGAATCGCATGCATGCCACTGGTTAGCACGGTTCAAAAATGGTAAAGTGGGGGCTAGCAGTTAGCGTAATGGCTATGTCGCTGGACTAGCATGTAGTCGACCCGGTGGCTTAAATTCACGCCAGGCGCGTGTGCGTGCGTGCCCAAGATCCCCAGAGGAGAATGGAGGAGAAGGAACCGCGGGGTGGCCATCCTCCTGGGGATTGATTTCTCTCTGTCTCTGTCTCTCTCTTTCTGGTGAGCACACGCACCCTATAAAAACTCTCTCCAAAAAAAAAAAAAAG